TAAAAAGAGTAAGTTTATAATTTGTAATTTCAGTGATATTGCAATAACTGAGCCCCTTTAATTTTAATTAATACTAAGTGATTGCATCAAAATTTGATAAAATATATGTGACAGTGCCCAAACTATTATTTTCAAACAAATAATTTTTTCTCAGACAAAAATTGCCTTACTCTGTTAAGATTTGTTATGCTGATGCTTCAAACTCTTTGAAAATGTGTACTGGGAAAGGTTTACCCCCCTTGTGTTTAGGTCTCTCTACCTAAATGAATAAGAGTCAAATAAAAGAAATATGGTGAGTTTTGAAAATGGCATACATCAATAAACTTATTTAGAGAAGAATTAGACTAAATTACATATTTCTGAAAATTGGTGTTTTCAGATAGTTTTTTTAAATGCCAAACATGTGCCGAGGGGGTACACATATACATGCGATCCATAAAAACATGTACATGGGGACAGTTTTCCAGAGGCTAATTAATTACACTTCATATGCCCATGGCTCACAAATTATGTCAACAAATTACATGTAATTTGCCTAGTAGAGTGCACATGTACCAAAAATGCACCTGGGGTCTCCCCAAATTTTGGCTTGTTTTTCCAAGATTTGGGCCTCAGTCGCACCCATACAACCCACCCCCAGGCCCGAGCGAGCAGGATAAAACACCCAGTAGTCTGTAAATCAATGCATGCCCTAATGAAAATTCACCAATTGATATGGGGCCATTCACCTTCCCTCTGAGATACACACCTTCTTCTAAGGCCTACTGCTTTTCAGTGAATTTCCTCTGCAACTGACTATGTGTCTAAGGTTCGCATTTACAACTCTGTATATAAGCGTCATAGTGACACCTACATGTTGCACATCATTTATTTCAGCAAGCACTCTTCTACACTGCAAATGTGTCCCATAATTATTCTAATCATTTTCCTACATAAAATATCACATCAAACACGGGATATCTCAATTCTTTAAGAAATTTGACCGGGTCTTTAGTACGAAACTATCCCCTGCCACCTGAATAACAAAACCTGCTTGAAAAACATGCAATAAACAAACTAAATTTGATCACATATTTTGTAAGTTTTTCTTCGGGAAAACTTTCATTACATTTTGGGAAAATACAGGCATATTTTCAATTGGGACTGGGGCCGAATTTCGGCCCCAAGTCAGTTCTAAAAAAATCACTGACTGCACATTTTATCTATATACAGAACATCAAATGCTCATATTTATCCTTTCTTTTCCTGCTGCTAGTACATGTACCCGTTATTGATTTCTTACCTGAAGCCATTTGAATGTGTCTTGTCAGTGACCCATGATTGTTAAACAATTAAAGTGTAACTCTTATAAAAACAAAATTTTAATTATGAGATTTTTTGCATTCAATCAATACAATTTAAAAATGATTGATATTAATATCAGAAAGAAACACCTTTGAATTATGCTCATAACCATTCCCCAGTTTACATGTATTTATAAAGTTTTATTATTCTTCATTAATTGGTAGTTCCATTATATGAGATCTGAGATCTTACGAAATTGCAGGTTGAAACTTAACAATTTGGATCCGACATCTTTTAAAGTATGCCAATGCATGTTTGTCGAACAACAAAGTTCCTTTGAACAATTAACAAAGACTGGTTAAGCCTTTCCCTGAGTTTGAACACTGATACGTTAATAAATGAACTGAGCAGATCCAATTTTTTTAGCTCACATGAGCCATAGGCTCAAGTGAGCTTTTCTGATCAAAATTTGTCCGTTGTCTGTCGTCGTTGTTGTCATTGTCGTTGTTGTTGTAAACTTTTCACATTTTCATCTTCTTCTCAAGAACCACTGGGCCAAATTCAACCAAACTTGCCACAAAGCATACTTGGGTAAAGGGGATTCAAGTTTGTTCAAATGAAGGGCCATGCCCTCTTTCAAGGGGAGATAATTAGGAATTAATGAAAAAATAATGGCATCATTTAAAAATCTTCTTCTCAAGAACCACTGGGCCAGGAAAGATGAAACTTATGTGGAAACATCCTCAGGTAGTGTAGATTCAAGTTTGTTCAAATCATGACCCCCGGGGGTAGGGTGGGGCCACAATGGGGGATTAAAGTTTTACATAGAATTATATAGGTAAATATCTTTAAAAATCTTCTTCTTAAGAACAGCAAAGCCATGATTGTTCATATTTTTATGGAAGCATCCTCAGGTAGTGTAGACTCAAGTTTGTTCAAATCATGATCCCCAGGGGTAGGGTGGGGCCACAATGGGGGATCCAAGTTTTACATAGAAATATATAGGAAAATATCTTTAAAAATCTCCTTCTTAAGAACAGTAAAGCCATGATTGGTCATATTTATATGGAAGCATCCTCAGATAGTGAAGATTCAAGTTTGTTCAAATCATTACCCCGGGGATAGGTTGGGTCCACAATAGGTGATCAAAGTTTACAGAGGAATATATAAGTCTTTTTCTCAAGAACAGAAAAGCCATGATTAGTCAAATTGATATGGAGGCATCTTTGGGTAGTGTAGAATGAAATTTGTTCAAATGAGGGCCCCCGGGGGTAGGGTGGGGCCACAATGGGGGATCAAATTTTTACAAATGAATATATGGGAAAAAAATCTGCTGCTCAAGAACAACAAAGCCATTTGTTATATTGATATGAAAGCACCCTTACAGAATTGCAGCAGATACTGCAAATGCAGTATTTGCTGCTATAGCGCTGCAATTGTACTTAATGTCTACTGCAAAAATGAAGTATATTTGCAGTACTTATTAGCATAATGTACTGCGCAGCAGTATATTCTAATAATCTACTGTAAATATACTGAAAATGTGCTGCAAAAACTTTTCGTATTTTCTTTTCAGTGACACAAAATTTCATATGCTGCTTTTGTACTGCAAATAAGCTGCATTTCTACTGCATTATCTTTATTATTGAGATACTGGTATTAAAGGTATACTGCATTTCTGCTGCATTATCATTATCATTCACAAGTCTGTCAGAGGTGTACTGCATTTGTACTGCATTATCTTTATCAGTTAGATACTGGTATTGATGGTACTGCATTTGTACTGCATTATCTTTATCATAATTAGATATATGTACTGGCATCAAAGGTACTGCATTTGTACTGCAATATCTTTATCACTTAGATTCTGAAGGTATACCATATTTTGCCAATATATTAATTGGCTGTATTTGCATTATCTTAATAACTGTGAAAAAATGCAGCAATAATTAAAATCTAATGTTTATTACAGCTGTTTTAATGGTGACTTTTTAATAAGATATATTATATGATGTCTTAAAAACATCTGCATGAAATTTGAGACCAAGTTAAATACCAGGTGTTCAAAGGGATTTGTGGGAAATGCAAAATACATGTGTAAAAAAACTATTTGTTCTGACATTGAAAATATACTAATAGACATGATGTTTCAATATTAATGTATCTTTTATTATATCATTTTCAATAATACTTGGATAAAATTCTACATAGTTTTTCTTATCAATATTCATGTACATAAAAGGTTCCTCAATATATATCCTCTATATGCTAGCATAATATTTGGTACCCCAATGGACACTTAATTGACATACATTTGTACTACATTTTGTACATGAGCTTCATGACAGTTTGTGGTAAATGCTAGTAAGTACAGTGTATACAAAAACTCTTAGTCTGACATTGAAACAATCAATGGACAACTAAATATATTAATCTTTTTCAATAAGATTTGGGAAAAATGCCACCTGCTTTTTTCTCTCATCAATATCTATGTACATGACAGGTTCCTCGAGATCATCTACAAGTATTACATTTGTTAAACCAATGGACACTTGACAAACATTTGTACAAGATTTCTGTACATTAAGTATTCTAGTAACAGCAACATATGTGTATCCATTTTCAGTTGCACACTGTAAAAAATATCTAATCTGACAAATACCACTCTTGTTCTTACATGTATAGGAGTTTCTTTTTTTCACAGGCTTGTACTCCTCACTATAATACATTATCTTATTGTGTAAAACTCTGTAGAAGATATGATATTCAGCAACATTTCCAAACTTATTTTCCAGTAATTGTGTAACATGTTCCTCAGGCAAAAAGGCCTTTATAGAGCCAACCACAAAAGTTTTAAGTCCAATACATATCCTAGTAAATGACTGTTGCAAAGATGACTGCATCTTTTGATAAAAAGACACCACAGAACCTATTTCTAATTTGTCAACAAGTTCAGGAATTTTATTTTGTATGCATACAGCAGTTACAATTTGGAGATCAATTTTTTGTGTACCATGGAAAAGATTTCTAAGATCACCATTCAATCCTTCATAAAAAAAACAAGACTGGGACCAAAGTGGTCCCAAATCTTCGACTTTTGAACACAAGTGTAAAAGACAATGAACATTAAATGTAGCGTAACGCTCCGTATAAAGTTCTTCTATACCAATACAAAATCTTTTGAAACAACATCTCGCTAATTTCAGATCAGTCTGTGAAATTGAAGTCTTTAAAAGTAAGAAAGTGCCAAGTACTAAATTACAAAAATGATCATAATATTTTGAAGGGAGTACATCTTCCAAAAGGGGTACAGAGTAATAAAGAAGAAATGTTCTAAATTCAGATGCTTTCCAGTCACCATACTCATCAATTTTTTTTGGTAGGCGTGAAATCAAACAATGTGGTCTTAGTTTTTTGATTCTATCATTAAGTACATCAATATGGCTTCTAAGAGACCATTGCTCATTTTTGTGATCTTGATCAATCCAAAGCCCTAGGATCATCTTAACAACACCAAGCAAAACACAGTGCATATAATCTATGCCAGTACCTTTGATTAAATCAAACTTTGGAAATGACATCAAAAAGGATATTCCTTTGACTCCCATTTCTGGCACAGGATCTCGTCTTCTTCCACTCAAATATTCCGTTTCTACTCGATGCGCTGTAGCTTTGGTTTCCTCCATTGTCCTTAACTCGTCATGGTCTTCATTACTTTCTGACTTGTAGGGGTATATATGCGAGTTCCCTGTTGCCGATATTGCAAATGTTTCTCCAGGAGATAGACAACAAGGACACCCATAATTACCATTAAACTGGACAAAATCCATCATTAAACATCTCGCTGGTGCATCAGCTGTGCAGCTAAGAAGAATGGCTTTAACTGTTAACTGTTCTTCTTTAATACTCATGGGAATGCCTGAAAATATTTAAAAATATTCATATTTACTGATATATGAAATTTTGAACAACATATTTATGGCATGGAATTGCAATGCATATTTTGGGGGGATTTTTACTGTTTACGGTAGCTCAGTCGGTAGAGCGCTCGCTCCGTGATCGGGAGGTTGTGAGTTCAAATCTTGGCCGCGACTGACCTAAGTCAATAAAAAATGGGTAGCAACTGTTCCTTCGCCATGCGCTCGGCACTTTGAAGTGAAAGTTGCGGGTCCTTCGGATAAGACCCTAAAAACCGAGGTCCCGCGTCACCGCAGGCATTGGCACGATAAAGATCCCCCATGCTCAATGGCCCTGAGTGCCGAGTAAAGGTCAAAATTTGAAGCCCTTCACCGGTGTATGGTGACGTCTCTATATGAATGAAAAATTCTTGAATGAGACGTAAAACAACATACAATCAATCAATCAATTAAAAGGTTTTGTTACATATTGATTTATTTGTTTGAACAGAAGATTTCTCTTTTTTTCTTAAAGTCCAAGAGACATATTCATAACTCTGTTAAAAATCATTAGATCGGAACCAAGTTCAAATTTGACCTGAATGCATTATCAACTTTATATATATATACATCCCTTCAGCGGAAACTAAAAATATCTTCAGGACGGAATGATGGAACAGGGTAACAGTTTACACCATATGCACCCCTGCAATTTCATGGCAGGGGCATAAAATATAACATACACACCTGTAAAAAGCAAATTGAATTCTTTCAAAAAGGATCCAAAAAGTAGTTTCATATTTGGTTTCTGAGTTCCAAACCATAGTCCTAAGAAGATACGGTTTTCTCTTGTGAATCTAGCAATAAATTTTAGAGAAAATAGTGTTAAGTTGTTAACAGTAGAGTTATTTACAGTAAAGCTCGGTTATAACGAAGTCATAGGGACCAATGGTTTTACTTCGCTATCTCCAAAAAACTTCGTTATATCGAGATATCACTATATCTCTGTTCATTATAAACGAGTTTAACTGTATGTTTATCATTGAATTAAGTTTTACTGTATGTTTATCATTGAATGTTAAGAGTACCGTAATTTCCGAATTCATATAATTAATCAAATTGTAACTGGTACCTTGCATCAGGTGGCAATTCATTGATAACTGCATACACAGGCCAAACACCAAATTTAGATGACTTGAACACAGCAACTCCATCAGTGTTAATTTGAAAAGAAAAGTGCAATTGAAGATTCCTCTCTTCCTTGGTTGTTCCATGGAAAAAACCACTACTATCAAAATGAGTTTTGTATACATTTCCATTGTAGACATCTTCAATAATGGATGTGTTCCCAAGTTCACTCCTTTCAATTTTGCTTTTTCTTATAATGTCAAGAACGCCTGGTCCTAAAAAATACATCATACAATATAAAATGAAATCATCAATATATTTGTTGGATATACATTAAAGTGAATTTTACATTGTTACATTTTTTTTGCCATGGAGGGAATTTTGTGGATTGACAACTATCTATTGTATGTAGTATTAAATATGGCGTATGTATTTACCAATACTTTTATTAAATTTTACAGTATTAAAGTTTGATTTTATTTCTAATTCTTTCACATGCATGTCAGTGCAGGGCCCCAAAACAGTCCTTCATGATATTAACACATGGCCAAAATTTTTATTATATCATTGATAATCACTGCAATAAAATTTATGGTTAAACGCTAGTTACATCTTACTTGCAAGCTAGAATGATAAAATAATTAAGTCTAAAATGAAAATGACTCACTTTTCAAAATTGTTTCCATTTGGTCCTTTAGGGGTATGGTGATGAAATATTTTATGCTAGTCAATGAACAGTTTGGACATTTTTCATATTTTGCATCCTTTTCAATGCTGAGGAAGCACTTTTCACAAAAATAGTTGTATATTAGAGGCGTTTTCAAATGCCTAAAAAAGTCTTGGTACATTGTAAGGGTTGCCCTGCATATATTATCTGGAGGACAATGCACTTCAATAAGATTTAATAAATCACAAAGGGCAACTCCTGATAAGTTGTGTCTTGTAGCAAATGTTACAATCAGCAGCATACTCATGCTAACAGTAAGCCTGCTTCCTTGATATATAGGTTCATTGTCAATATTTCTCTGATTATCACTACTTTTTTGGTCTAACTTCTGTTTTTCTTCCTCCAGCATTTCTTCCACCATTATGTCAAATTCATTTGGAACTTCATCATTGTAATCGGTTAATTCTTCAATTGTTTCTGAAACTAAAGTAAATAGTAATACATTATTGTAATGGGATGAGGTGGATAAAATAAAATAGAAAAAGTTGATGCTATAATTATTATTATTAAATGTTAAATAAAATAATTCATCATCAAATTTATAACACTGTTTTCATTACTATATTTTTTTTCTTTGGTAAAGTTCTTAGAATTGTAAAGTAAGCTGCACATATTAAAATTTTTCTTACTCTAATGTTATTTTTAAAATAATTTATAGTTATTCAGGTTCATTGTATTTCAAAACTGGCTTCATGACTGGTGTATATAAAATTATAAATCACTTATGAACTGCATTATACCCATCATTTGATTAAAATTTTGGGAAGGAAGGTTGTACACAATAAATTTGCCGTCGTAGTTCCACTCGTTAATTTCATCAACGGACACCCTTTTTCATTATTATTTACAATACCAATAGAGTGACTCCCCTTTCCAAATGTATGCACGTAATTAATTAATCAATAAAATTTATACAGATTCAGAACCGTTTTACTACCAAAAAAACTCTATATACCTGCAATTTCCTCAACATTTGACTCGTGTTCTTGCTCTTTCTCTTGTTTTCTCCACTTCGATGTCCTCGATGTTCCTGCATATGGCCCGCGTTTTTTTGACGCCATTTTTTTCTTGGGCAAATCGTGCATAAGCTATTTCGTTTCGTAACTTATTCTTCCAAAGTTCCAATTCACGGATATCTCACATTTCTGATAATATTTTTTAACTGAAATTATTATAAATAAATTGTGAATTAGTCAGTTTACTTTAGTTTATATAAATAAAAAACGGTGGATGCGCACAGGAACATCGTACGATGTATTTAACCACATTTAGTTCCGGTACGTAAAGTTCCTAGTTGAAAGCGCGGCAATATTTAGGCCTAGACAACGATGTCAAAATTATTACTAGCCCTTGTCGAATGGCAGGAGGAAGGATTTCCCCTCGGTGTGATAAATTTACGTGCCATAGATGACCCGCGTCTCCCATTTGAAGATTACACAGTTGGGTTAGACGTTTACGCCAAATGCCAAGGATTCCCGGGGTCACATCCCGCCAAAATTTTAAAGATCGGTGGTAGGTTCACAAGATTATAAATTATGAGCAATATGATCTTTAAAATCATGTGTCTCATTTATAATTTATTGTACATTTCAACAGACGATAAATATCTTGTTTTCTTGTTTTAACACTATTTTAAATGATAATAAGAATAATGTTGAAAATCTTGAGTTATTTCCCTTATTTACTGTGAAGTCTAAAACGGCTTTCACCCAAAACATGCAGTGAGAAGTCATTATAATCATGCATAATATATAATACTTTTGCTATTAAAATTTTTAATTAGTTTTAATTCAAAGGAATATGAAGATAATTAAACTCTTTCTAAATGTTTGTAACAATCAATATACATGTAACTGTACATTTTAATAGATGATAGAAGAGAATTACACAATGAAATGGATCTCCTTAGGACAACACCTAGATTGTGTTCCACTGAAGAAGAAACTTGGTAATTATACTTATTGATTTATTTATTGATTATGGTCTATTTGACTGTATTGAACTTGAAAAAAAGGGGGGTAAGCATAATTTTTTTGTTTAAAGGGGGAGGAAATAAGCACCGCCCTCAATTTTACCTGGTCTGTGAACCCCTGTCAATCAGATGAAATTAAGCCTGAGATTGGATACTGAAAATTGATTGACATTTTGTTACCTGCCGTTGTGTATATCTTGTATACCTTGGCTGGGGATCGTACCGATTATTGAATTAACAGCCAGTCTTTGATGCCTACCGCATATATGAAACATCGTGATAAAGAAGCAGCCAGAGCTGATATTATTTTTTTTACTTTATGATAAAGTAATTACCCATATATAATTTATACTTAATCAGTCTGTCAGACAAATAAATGAAAAAGAAAATCAGTCATTTATCTATTTAAATTGTAATTAAGAAAGGGGGATTCATTTCACTGTACAATCTATAATGCAGTATAGGTTATCCAAATTTACACGTGCATCGATTTTACTTACAACAGAAAATACCGAACTGCATTGGAAGCATCATATAATTTAATAAAATAATAATTTCTTTTTTATAATTATGAGATAGTCATATTGTCCAAGTTAAAAAAAATTCAAGACGTGTAATATTTCTCCGAGACATGGTGATGAAAGTTACGGTAAAATAACCTTTTTTAAGAGAAATAAGCAGTATTATAAAAGCTGTCATTGAATATGCAAGTTATGTTTAGAATTATGGATCCCGAGGAAAAAGTAGGATAAAGTGACTATATTCCCGTTTCGTCTAACTGTCGGAGAAACAATACGCAGATGCCATGACCATTTTTACGAAACTGTTCAAACATGCGTCATGGGTTAATCACATAGGAATTATATAAAAAATACTTGCCTAATTTATTATATATTTTCTACAAAATTTAGCCTTCAAACAGGATTTCTAAGTTTTAGAGACTTATTCAGGACCGCGCTTTTTTCTACTTTCGTTTTGCAAATGACTATTTCCCTCGGTGTCGTCAGCTTACAACCAAAGATTTGAAATTGATTAACGCACAAAATTAAACTAAAATTGTCTCCTTTATTCAAACATATTTTTTTAAAAAAGAATTGAACTAAAGGAATCAGTCTACATAAAAAATTTAGCATGTTTTATTTCATAAATTTGACGATCAACATTACGATTGAGCAACACGCGAAGTTAAACTATGTCTTAGGAAAACATTTACAGGTAATATACAGGTAACATCCTGTGTATATGGGTAGGTATACACAAGCCAGCTTGGTTCCCTTGGGGCTTCACAGCCGTTTCAATTAAGCTCCACCCCACACCAAACTTACCTGAGGAAAACCAACCGGTTGAAAACCTCGGCCTTTAAATGGGATTTGTATCCAATATGTTTCACAGTGTGATTGCATGCAGAAATTAAAAATATTTTACTCTATAAATACAACATTTTTTATATATTAAAATTAACAGTGACTCCCCCCCCTTTACTGATAAGTTGCTAAAATTTACATTTTCAGGTCACCTGAGTCACTCAGGTGACCTATTGCTATCCGTTTTTGTCCATCGGCATTTGTCGTGCGTTTTGCGTTAACAATTGAACATTTTTAGCTTCTTCTCTGAAACCCCTCAACCAATTTCAACCAATTTTGGCATATAGCACCTATAAGTGAAGGGGAACAAAAATTGTGAATTTCATAGTCCCTGCCCCCCTGGGGTCTGAAGGGTAGGGCTGATATCACCAAAATTAATGCAATCTTTAAAAATCTTCTTCTTTACTCCTGGACATCAAGCAGTCAAACTGTTGGCCTGATTGTTATAAGGATTGAGCCCTCTACCAAAATTGTGAAATTCATGGCCCCAGGGTCGGGGGTTCTGGTGCTAGGGTGGGGCTATATACATCATATAGTGAAAGTGCATTATTTCTTTGAAAATCTTCTTGTCTGCTCCTCGATATTAAATAAACTAAGTACATAGTTATGATGAGCAAGAGTGCCTCTACCAAAATTGAGAATTTCATGACCCCAGGGCCAGGGGTTCTGGTGTTAGGTGTGGGGGGGGGGGACTCTATTGATTATATAGTGAAAATGCATTAAATCTTTGAAAATCATCTTCTCTGCTCCTGGGTACGAAATAAACTAACTAAGTACATAGTTATGATGAGCATGGCTGCCTCTTCCAAAATTGTGAATTTCATGGCCCCTGGGTCAGGGGTTCTGGTAAAAGGGTGGGGGTGGGACTCTATTGATTATATAGTGAAAATTCATAATTACTTTCAAAATATTTTTTTCTACTCCTGGTTATAAAACAAAGAAACAAGTGTATAGTTATGATGAGCAAGGATGCTTTTACAAAATTTTTAAAACTTGTGGTCCCAGGGGTTCTGTTGTTTCTCCGGGGGGGGGGGGCTCTATTAGATTATATGGTGAAAATGTGTGAATTCTTTGAAAATCTTCAACTAATTGCATAGTTAGGATGATGAGGGTACCTCTTCCAATTTTGTAAATTTTCATGATCCTAGGTCATGGGTTTTGGTGTTAGGGTAGGGCTGTGTTAAATAGTGAAAATACATTATTTCTTTGAAAATCTCCTCTGCTCCTGGGCATATTGGAAGCAAACAGAGTAAAAGTTTTAATAAGCAAGGTATTTTTACCAGAATTTTGAACATCTGGACCATTTAGTCAAGTGTTCTGGTCCTGGCCAGGGCTCTATTAATTTGTAATCTACTGAGTGAGGTTATTCCCCTTTGGCATTCACCTTAAGTTTGATAATCAATCACTGTAGATAATGTATTTGAAAGGATAATAGAATAAGAGAATTATGCAAGAACATTTATTGTATAATACAAAAAGTACTTTCATAGTTTTAATAATCAGGTAGACTTGGAAATAATAGATGAATAAAAATGAAACAAAAATAACTTATCTTTTTAAATGTTCTTCAAAGGCCAAGTGAGGCCAATGTGAGAGGTTATAATATAGACATTTTGTTAAAAGTCTGCATGATAATAGTGATAAATGGGGGACAGATAGAAAGATACTAGACCAATTATTTTGTTGATCTTAATCGTGCTATTTTTCTTGCTATTGGGCAACAAAGCTTCATTTATCAGTTTATGGATCCTCTAAATTGTTGTACTCAGGTGACCGTTAAGGCCCTTGGGCCTCTTGTTTTTTTTCATGCTGGGTATGAATGATACATGTACAAACACTGCTAAAAAATACTTTAGCCTCTACGTTTACATACTAATATACCACTTACAACTAATTTTGTACATTTTTTTAATGTAACTTAAATTTTTGACATGATGATTTTAGCTTTGAGCAATATTGTAAATTTTCTATTCATTTTTCTAAAACATTTTACAGCATGCCTCAGGAAAAATCAGCTGAAAAGCAGCTTCAGGGTAAAGATAGGAATAAGAAGCAGAAAGTCGAAAAAGCAAATAAGAAGAAAATGGAAGAAGTCAATCCGATTGACAAGAAAAAGGCACAGGAAGAAATGAGAAAAAAGAAATTTGAAGAGAAAAAAAATGAGGCAATTCTGAAGAAAAAAGCCAGGACAGAGCTAAATACCAAAGTTTTGCGAGAGTTGAATATTGACTTCAATAGGTAAACATTTTTTACACAGTGATTTTTCTACATTTTTTAAAAGGGGCCTGGGCCTTTACAATTGGGAAAAATCATCGACATTTGTATCAAATTGGGAAAAATCAAAAAGATTGAAATTTAATTGGCAGGTAAAATGAAATACTGGTATATAAGTAAATGTAACATCATTTATTCAATTTATTTGCTAAAAAGTAACAAATTAGGCACAGTTCTAAATTCTTAACCCTTTTTTTAATCTTTGAAAGTTGTCATTAATTGTGACCAACCTATATTTCCATTTTTTTTTTGGTCATAATGGTAGACATAAGAGAAAATCTTTCTTGTAATAGCCATTGAAGATAAACTAATCTGACATGATAAATGACAAATCATTTTTTTTTCAAACTAATTATTAAAGCTTTTTTATGACCCTAGCTAATCATATTGCTGCCATTTCTCTGCAATACTAGTTGCATCTGCCGGATGTAGAAACAGTTTGATTTTGATGCTTACTGTAGAGTTACTAGTACTTGGATTCACAAATAGAGCTACGTTTTGCCGGTTCACATGCACATTACACTTTCTTACGATGTATTTATACAACAGGTTTGACATGACCATGTGTTTTTCTAAGTCTTGTAAACGCACGACGTAATCTGTTGTTTCTTACTATTATTTTAAGAGTCTGAATGACCGAGAACAATAGCGTTCCATTTTAGATAAGTCGTACGTAAAAAATTCAATATAACAAAAACAACATCGGTTTTGTTTTGGGAAAAAAGCAATAGAAATTGGGGAAAAAATCGGTAATTTTTGAGAGGGGAAAGGGCCGATATTCGGACCTAAAGAGGATGTAGAAAAATCACTGTTACAGCACTATAGTATTATACATGTATAAAAACAAAGAAATAGAAATTAAAATAAAACACAGTTTCAGTATCAGTGTATAAGGAAAACAAGGTATAAACCAGGGTTGTCCCTAAGAATTGAAATAGCAGGTGACATTAAAAAAGTAGAAGGGGTTTTTGGGTTCCTCCCTAACAGGATGGGGGGGTTGAGGGGGAATACCAGAATAACCAAGGGATTACATCATTATAGGCGGGGAAATTCCCCTGCCCCCGGGTCTTAGGGACAACCCTGATAAACTCTTACCAATTGGCTAACAAGCAGTTTGTCACTATTTTTCAGTTAATTTGGAAGTCTTTTCTATAGCTAGCAAACTGCTGCTTAAAGCCTTAAGCAATTGTTAAATTGCATACCCATTATGAATTAATAATGTCGCATTTTTTATCAGTAGCAAAGAATAAGTCAGCCATTTCATTGCAAAAAATATTCTCTTAAAATATTGACTGGTCAATATTTTTGTAACATTTCAATTATTGACTGTTGTTCATTCATATTTTATTTATTTGTAGAATTCAAAACGAGAACAAAGACACTGAGGAAGACTTACTACCTCTACTACCTCTTCAGGACATTGACTTTACACAGTTGTGAGTAATAGTTCTCAAAGATATCTCCTCATCTTAAAATAATATGTATATTTATACAATATTTAAAAGTAAAACAATGTTAAAAATTTAAAACAAATTGCTGTTAAATTTTGAATAATATGTAACTTGTTTTTACTTGGTGTGGTAAATTAACAGTTACACATTTTTTTAACACTAATATGGTAAATCATTCTTTTTTTTAGAGCTGATGACTCTGATCATGAGGAGGATGCACTCAATGCTGAATTGATTGCTTTAACGTAAGCAAAAGTGATTTCACATTTGTATTAGATTGAAGTTTTGTTAAAAATCTGAGTTTGCATCAAAAGAGGGTTAATTGAGTTATTCAATCGCCTAAATAATGAGTGATATTTTATTATGATGTAGGTTATTATTCTAACAAAATATAAGTTTGTTCCCATTACATTGAATTTAGAGTAATAATTGTTATCCTTAGTAATTCAATTCAAATTGAAAATGTTTATGCTTCTGTAGCAAAGTATGATACATTGTATTGTGTTTATAGGGACCTGCCAGTTCAACAAGTGAATGCTAAAGGGCACAATACTGTGGCTCAAAAAGCCCCTCGAAACCGAGCACTGGAGGTGAAATATGCTGAAGCAATTAAAGAAAATGGCATTCTAAAATGCAGTAGGTTAAATTAATCATTTCAAATTGTATATCGATGCAAAATTTTTCTGAGTATAGGGGCCAGCCCCTTTTTCTTGATGTTATCTGAAAGCTCTCGTAATTACACACAACTTTTATTCTATATGTCTTACCAAATTTTTATCAGTTTAAAAGTTATTAAACAAAAAGCAGCAAAATTTCATGGAAAAATAATTCTTAAAACTTGCCGTCACATAGCTTCCGAACTTAAAAAAATTAGCCTACAATTTTAATGTTCTGCGCATCTGCAATGTATTAGTTACAAGTTCTCCAGTTTTCATGCAAGTATCATGTGTCGTTATTGAGAATTCTAATGGACAAGAGACCCTCCAAATATCGATTAAAGGGCAATAACTCATGAACAGGGGTATATATCAAAAATTTGAAAAAACCGTTTTTAGGCAATAATACATTGTATCTACCCTGAAAGTTTCATAGCAATCGGACAAAAGGTCTCCGAGAAATCGCCTGCTGAAAATCGGCGGGAAAAAAAAATAATAATAACTAGAGCAAAGCTCGTTGCAAAGCAACGAATGGGTCTTCCTTCTTAGCTTGTAAGTTGACGTCGTAATAAAAGGATAAATATTTGTTTAATTTCCACCTAAAGGTTACATGTTTCTGTTTAGATTGTCAACTTTGCTAACATTCTGTTTCTTCTTTGACCCAAATATCAAGAGACCTCATCTCCGGAACTCTGAATCTGGAGTGAGCATGAGGATATATAATTCAACTGTACTCTCTCCAACAGTACTCCTGAAATTGTATCCAAAACACTAATACTCCAAGACCCTCATTTCTTGAACTTTGACTTTTGATTTTTAATTTCTAGACTTTTCTTTTCATCTAACATCTTTGATGCAATCATGTTAGTAACAAGTGTCATACTACAGAATCATCAGTGTTTTGCTACATCACTGTCATAATAATTGCTTGACAAAACATTTACACAGCATAACTACATAGTAAGTAATCCAAATGTGTTACTGATTGAGGATATCCATTGTTTGACAATCAGTAAGTAGAAAAATACTCTTACAAGAAATGCACAGGGATGATTTCAGTGAGACATGGTGTCACTTGTGGAAAATTTTAACATAACATCTTTTTTAGCCTTTAACTTAAAAGTTAAACTACCGTTCATGGTAGCTCAGTCGGTAGAGCGCTCGCTCCGTGATCGGGAGGTCGTGAGTTCGAATCTCGGCCGCGACAGACCTAAGTCGATAAAATGGGTAGCAACTGTTCCTTCGCCATGCGCTCAGCACTTTGAAGTGAAAGTTGCGGGTCCTTCGGATGAGACCTTAAAAACTGAGGCCCCGTGTCACGGCAGGCGTTGGCACGATAAAGATCCCTCACTGCTCAATGGCCCTGAGTGCCGAGTTAAGGTCAAAATTTGAAGCCCTTCACCGGTATATGGTGACGTCTCTATATGAGTGTAAAATTCTCGAATGGGACATAAAACAACATACAATCAATCAATCATTAAAAGTTAAACTTCATTATCTCAAAAGCCGATATCTAAATACATGTACCATTTATATGGTGAAGTGAGTTGGTACTCCCAACCCCTTATTCTTTAAGTTTTTTACCCTGCATGGTTATCTGGAGTCATGGGTTATCTTGATGTTTAATCTTGGTCCAGTTGAAATTGAGAAAAAATGGTTTTACTGTACTTCTTGGGTTCATTTATTCAAATGTTTTACAAGGGGGGAAAAAGACACATATATTTAAATTTTTGTAACATGTTAAAATAATCTTTTACATGTACATGTATATTACACATATATTCAAGTAAATTTTTTTAATAAGAATTCATTAAAAATATTTGAATCCATTGAAGTTGATTGCAGTAGATATAATGTGAATTATGAGCCTAAGACACAACAAGCAAATTTAAAGAATAGTGGTCTCATTCTGTCATTTGTCAACTGAAAAAGTTTGATGATAATAGGTCTGAAACTGTTCAAAATATGCCTCTAAATCATTTTGAAAAAGAATGGCTGCAAAATTTAAAAAGTAGGTAACCATGAACTACTTTTGAGTCAACATGATACGAGGTCCTTAGATGCATCAACTGACAAGATTTGATGATCCTAGTCCTTATAGTAAGCAAAATATCAACATTTTAATAAATGTAATTTTTGGTCAACTTTGAAGTGACCTGGAGACCAAGCCCTTTGTCCCAGAGCGATTCCCTGTGCAAATTTTAATCTACAATATATCCTCATCCTTTTGTGAAAGTTTGGTGATAATCTGCCCAGTGGTTCTTGAGAAGACGATTTTTTAGCAACCAGTACTTTTGGTTTTATTTACCTAATTATCTCCCCTTGTTTAAGGGTCACAACCCTAAGTTTACTATAAATGGGAGCCCTTGGGCCATGGATACACTGTGACAAATTTGACAATAATTGGCCAAGGGGTTCTTGAGTTATGGCCCATATCCTAACAAGAGGCCCATGGGTCACAACGCTCACCTGAGTTACTTTGGCCCTGCTGTTCTTCACCAGACCCTCCCTCCCTTGTAATACTTATTGCGGCCCCACCCTACCCCCGGGGGCCATGATTTGAAAAATTAGAATCTACACTACCCCAGGATGATTCCACATATGTTTCAGTTTTTCTGGCCCAGTGGTTCTTGAGAAGAAGATTTTTGAAGATTTTGCCTATATATTTTAAACTTTGATTCCCTATTGTTTCCCCGCCCTACCCCCGGGGGCCATGATTTGAAGAATTTAGAATCTACACTACCCCAGGATGCTTCCACATAAGTTTCAGCTTTTCTGGCCCAGTGGTTCTTGAGAAGAAGATTTTTAAAGATTTTGCCTATATATTTCAATGTAAAACTTTGATTCCCTATTGTGGCCCTGCCCTACCCCTGGGGGCCATGATTTGAAGAATTTAGAATCTACACTACCCCAGGATGCTTCCACATAACTTTCAGCTTTTCTGGCCCTGTGGTTCTTGAGAAGATTTTTTAATGACCCCACCCTATTTTTGTCTTCTCTTGATTATCTCCCCTTGTAGAGGGGGTTGGTCCTTCATTTTAACAAACTCCCCTTCACCCAAGGATGCTGTGTACCAACTTTGGTTAAATTTGGCTCAGTGGTTCTTGAGAAGAAGATGAAAATATGAAAAGTTTACAGACGGACGGACAGACAGACAGACAGATGGACAGATGACGGACAACTGGTGATCAGAAAAGCTCACTTAAGCTTTCAGCTCAGGTGAGCTAAAAAGTTTACATACACCGCACAAATGGCCATAGCATTAGCTCTTTGAGCCTTTGGCTCACAAGAGCTAAAAAGATAAAAAGAATTATGTAACTTAGAGTTGTCTATTTGTAATCAAAGCTATATTGAAATCAGACCAATTTCTTGAAATAAAAAATTGCACTGTTGTAGTGCAAAAAAATTAATGATATTTTACATGTCGCTACAATATTCAAAGAGGGCATGTTGCAAAATTTTGAATTAAATTAGAGGGGTTATGACTGTTTCATCGCTAATTATAGATGATCAATGCAAAAACACAAAGTTGAGAATTGCAATGTCATTGAAAGTCTTAGAGAGCACCGAGCTATTAAAAAATTATTTCTTCAGACAGATCATTTTTCAAAGTGCACAGTAAATTTTCCTTAAATCAATGTGTCCGCAAACTTTTCTAACAATCCTAGTTCATGTACATGCCCTTAGCACTGAAGTCATTTGAAATATGCACATATGTTAACATTTGTTGTTGTATATGCCAAAATAGCAGTTCTCTCTGAATTTTTTTGTAAAAATACATATATTACAAGTTCTTAATGTATTAAGGCCTGATGTGTCCATAATCCTAGATGGAAGGACTTTTATCCTTGTGTGACTGTTTAAATTTCACTATGCTGCTTATTCTTTGTCATCTCCAAACAGATGCTCTTCTGGCAAATATGGTCATGCTTGGTATCAAATTTCAGTTATCAGATGGCAGTCACACCTATCCAAAAGAAATTGAAATTTCTCATTTAAAATAAAAAAAAAACTGTACAACTTATAAATGATAAATAGCGATGTTAATTTTACTTGGACAGCTAAGTCGCACAGTCAGAGGCTTTAGTCAAATGAAAGTCGAGTACTCGTTGAAATTTAAATTAATTTTTCATGTCATTTTCCTTTTTGTCTTTAAGAGACTGCTAGCCTGTACAATATTTAAACTACATTATAACCATTATACAACAAATTATTAAATCATTAACATTTTCGTAGTAATAAATATATATATATCAAATGTATTTGATTTCAAATATAATATTTACTGCCTGTGTTTTTTTTTTTCAGTACTTTTGGACTGGGGGCTGGGGCCCTTAGAATTGGGAATTTCAGCATCAATTAGGCTAAATTGGGAATCTCCCAGAAAGCCCAATCACTTAAAAAGCATTGTCAAAAAGCTTTGTTTTTGTCTTTGTATTACTTTAACAAACAATTGTTATAACTAATCACATTAGAAATTTGACCGGGTCTTTAGTACGAAACTATCCCCTGCCACCTTTAACTTTCAAAGTTTGCTTTTTAATTAAAATAACTTTCCATATTTAGAAAGTGCAATCAATTCTGAGTAAAAATATACTAAATATGTCTTATTTCAATGAAAAATAAAAAAGTTAGAGGCAAATAAGTGACCCCACCAATTGTCGGTCAACCACCTTAACCCCATATTCTTTGTGTAACTTCAAAAATGACCAACTCCTACAATCCAAAAGAAACTATTTCTTATCAAAACAATGTTTAATGGTAACTTTGATCAATTTCAAATGCAGCTACATATAAAAATTTCAATAAGAATTGCATGCCTTCATGAAATGTACTCACATGAAACACATACTCTCCTATTTTTGATGTTTTGAGAAATCCCATTTTACCTCTTAATTGCTTGAATTTATACATCTATAGCTTGTTTGCAAAAAGAAAACCTAATCTGTTCTTCAGGATATTTATTGTAATATACAAAAACCCCTCTTGCATCAAAGA